AGCGAGCAGTGGGGCTGTGGTCCCTGCAGAAACCTTCCCCCAGCGCCTGCAGTGGCAGCAGGAACGGGTGACCCACTTCCCTGCGTTTTGCCATGGAATTTCAGTAGCACCAAAGCGTTTAATGTGCTGATTTCACCAGTTTTCTGGAACGTACACCGAAAGTGGGAAAAGTTAAAGTGAGGGTTCGGTTTGTATCAAAGCAAGAAGCTTTGACTTTCCGTTGTATTTTAAAGTGATGTTTCATGATCACCTGCAAACAAAAGCTTCGCATTCTTTTTTTTATTTATTTTTAWTTTTTATTTTTTGTTCAGTCAGTAAAAGACAATCTGTGTGCAGATTCAACAGAACAAGATGGTCCCACCTGTGGCCACTTTGGTTGGGTAGCAAAGCGCTTGCCCCAAAYGTCTCTGTGCTGGCCCTGCACTCCCTGTCCCCTCTTTGTGGGGTGGGGCTGTGGTCCCCTCCCCAGGGATGCTGCTGGCAGCTGGGGACACCTGTGCCTGCGGGAATCCCACATGGTGAGTGCTGGAGTCTGGCACAGGAGGTGTGAAAGTGTCTGGCAGCCACCCCAGCCCCGGGGGAGGTGGGACCCCAAGGTGTCCCCCCACCAGGGACCCCTGAAACATCCACCATCGTTCCTCTGGGAGTCCTCTGGGACTGTGCCCCTGCTCCAGGTGCTGCAGGACCCTCCGTGGGTTCACCAGGGTGTTCCAATCTGCTCCCAGGCAGGCCCAGGAGCTGCTGACCACACCCCGGATGGGCAGGTGGGGTGACAGCTTATTTGTGGGAGGATGTGGGGATGGGGTTCTGGGTGCTGCTGGGGGTCCTGGGGCTGCAGTGGCCAGAGGAGCATCTCTCTCACAACAGGGATGAGTGCTGGGGGCATTTCTTTGTTGTGAGGAGGGCTTTWCCTTGGCACCAGCCCCTGGCACAAGGTGATGAGTGGTCAGGAGAAGGCGGGGGTCACTCCTGTGCTGGGGACCGTGGTGTCACCCTGCTCCTGCCCCTGAGTGCCGGCTCTTCTGCCTGTCCCACCCTCCAGCAGCTGCACCATCCTCGGGTGAATGGAACAATGCATGAAACCCAAAAAAAGGGCATCAGTGTTTGGGGTGCAGGGGAAACCGGGGGCTTTGCTTTCCTCCCTGGAATGAAACAGCCAGCAGAGCTCAGCAGGTGCTGTGAGAATTCAGGGGTAAATCCCAAAGCTACAAAAGATCTGTGTATTTTAATTGTTGTGTGCAAAAGTGCCTGTACAAAATCTGCTGCTTTCTGTGCAGCCTCCTGTGCCCATTCCCCAACACAGCCATCCCCCCTCCCTTCATTGCCTTCCTTCCTCCAGAGAGCAGCAGATGGGGAAACTGAGGCAAGGAGCAGAGAGGGGAAGTGGCTGAGCCATGCCTGGACACCCCAAGGTGTCTCTGGGAGCAAGAGTCCAGCAAGAACCTGGATACTGCAGCATCTCTTCACCTTGCAAAGGCCTGTGGACACCCAGCTGATCCCAAAACATTTGGGATCAGGAGCTGGCTCCAATACAGGAATAAGCATGGCTGTGTCCAGAGCAGGCTGCTGGGCAGGTCAGGCTGCCAGGAGCCAGCTGGTGGTGGGGGACTTCACCAGGAATTCGTGGTCATTACACCGGGGTGCTGATGCCCACCTCCTTCCCGCTTGCCCTGGGGTCACATCCTTCCTTGGCCACCTGCAGCAGAGACATGGAAAGGGACAGACATGGGCCCTGCTCAGGACGGATCAGAGCTGGATAGGGGAAGCAGAAAATGGCCTCAAGYTGCACCAGGAGAGSTTTAGATTGAATATTAGGGAAAATTCCTTCACTGAAAGAGTTGACCAGGCTGCCCAGAGCTGTACTAAAGTCACCATCCCTGGACACATTTAACAGACTTGTGGAAGTGGCACCTGGGGACATGGTTTAGTGGTGGCTTTGGCAGTGCTGGTGGCACGGTTGGACTTGGTTTTAGAGGATTTTTCAAACCTAAAGGGAGTCGTGGATTCTTTGAGTTCATAACCTGGGGCATTTACAGCAGCTCTGCTGCCCTGAACGCTGCCGCAACAGGAGGGAGGCAGGTTGGGGGAAAACATCCAAACCCCGCTGCTGCCTGAGCCCCCAAAAAACCCCTTTCCCCAGCAATTCCCCAGCGTTACCTCCCAGGAGACGGTGTTTTCCGGGTACTGTGTGTCCGGGGGAGAYCTCAGCACCTTGGTTTTCAGGACGGCTCCTGAGGATGCCGAAAGCCGGGCGAGGGCGTCTGAGAGCGGGGCGGCCGCTGCCCGGGCTTCCCCTGACATCTAGCGGCAGCGCCGGGCGGGCGGCGGGGAGCCGGGACCGGGGG